TACTTTATATTTACTACATGTACCATACTGTTTAAATGTACCATACTGCTTTCAGTTAGCTGTGATTATATAACCCTTTATAACTTGGTAACCTCAACTGAGGGGGGTTGAGAGTGCTACAAGTGATCTCGAACTTAAAAGTCAAGAGTGCTGCTAAATATTCTACAGAGTCTAGGACAGGTCTCATAATACTTTATCTAACCCAAAATGTCATTATAATACTGAGGTTGAGAGACCCTGAACATCTCTTTAGAATGCACATGCTCTTTTATCCCTTATGGAAGCAAATAAGTTGCAAGGAAATACATATTTAAGAGCCACAATATATCTGTTAGATACATTAAGATATTCACTATATTTTAAAAGCCAATAAACTGAGATTTCTAGAGTCAGTTGAACTCGTATGTACCTAAATGGAAACAAAATAAATGTGTTTATGTGTTTGAATCTTTGTTTGTATAAAGTACAATTACGGTTTTAAAATAGTTTACCTTATCAATGCCATAAACTTCCTTCCACTATATTTGACAAGTTAAATATAAATATTAAATATGGTAATATTATAAAATAGTATCATATACTAATATTACATATGCTAAGGTTTTATATATATACTGTGCTAAATTTGACTATTTAAAAATAAATAAATGGTAATATTACAATATATGCTAATATTATTTTGTTAATGTTTTGTTTATATAAGCCAAGTAATATTGCATATGCTAATATAAAATACAATATATAATTCCTTAGAATTAATAAATCAAATATTAGAGCCATACGAAAACATTTTTGGAAGCCGAAAAGAATAAAAAATACTGGGGATTTTTGGTAAAATTTTTTTTATCATTTTAGCAGGGAAAATATTGGTGAGAATCTTTAGCAGGAAATTATTTTTTGGCCAATATCTGAACAATGAATATTTACAGAAAGTGCTTCAAAACATTTGTATAGATCAACTCTCCCAAAGGAAAATACTGGTTTTGTTTTAACAATTGAAATAAAGGGTTCTATTTTGAACGAACTTAATGAAAGTTGGAAAAGACATGACTATAAGCTGGTTCTACTGTAATTTTTTCATTGCCTCTTTATTTCCAGTCTACCCAAAATATAACTCGATAATTTTAATCCTACCCCATAGTTACCAGCTGGCAATGTAATAACACATCTCTTTAGATTCTGGCTTCAAAAATCACAATATTCCCTTTATTTTAGGTAGAAGTATAATTAAAAATGGAAAAATAGCTTTCCTGATTTTCAGATAGAACTTTGATTTTTTTGTTTTGCAAATTCAGCCAAGTAAGAAATTGTTTTGTTTTTATTCATTAGGTAATTCTAAACTAACTAGGAAATATTTTTCTCATTCCTCTGAGTTGCTGTCTCTAGATTCATTCAGTTTTATCCTTCCTAGGTTTGTTGTTAATGATTTAACTTCTGCTATATTCTACACTTTATATCTTACTATTTAAAACATAACATGTGTGAAGTTGAGCCATACTGCTGCTCAAATACACCAGCAGTGAGGTGGATGCTATTGTTAATCTACTGAAAGTATACAGCCACACAGCCAAGCTTGATCATACCTGCTTATAGTCCTGGCATTCTGTGAGGTTGAAGCAGGAGGGTAAGAAGCCTGAATCCAAGTCAGGCAATTTGGTGACTAAAAGAGAACCTGTCCCACAAAATAAAAATAAAACAAAAAGGATTGAGGGTGGAGCTCAGTGTGAGGGACTTAGAAACAGACAAACAAAAAAGTATAGCCACACAGAGAAGTTTGTGGACTTCCATGGGATCTCTAAAATACAAACCTCATACCGCATGTTTTGTACAGTTAAGGCATTAAGTGCCATGTACTTCTAAAAACTGAATAAAAATTTACCTTCTTATTTTTGTACTAATTTTAGCAGCTTAATTTAAAGTACCATATATGTTAAATTGAACAATCTAAATTATTTCAAGAAGTAGCTCCTAGATAGTTATACAGGAGAACCCTGGACACTGATTGAATTTGTTTTTAGACTTTTAAAGCGGATTATTATTATATAGATTTTGTGATGACTAATATATCAAATATATTCACAGATCTCTTTTTCTCTGTAGTCACACTTACAAACATCCTTCCTTACTTCTTCCTTTCTTTCATTTTGTTATTTTTTGTGTCATACTTTTCAATGCATTGAAATTACTGGCTTCTAATGAAAAACATCATTAGATCGTTATAACTCAGAACCAAGATCAGGTATGAAATTTAGTTTTTATTCTAACACCTTCATTCTAGGATTAGAGTCAAATTGATCTCCCAGTATTTAATATGAAATAAACATTAATTCATTTTGCAAATATTTACTGAGGTATGGGACTGGGAATTTAGAGGTAGCTTAAGCTGTGATGTACCAGGATTGTGTTTACCTTTTTCTCAAAGGAAATTGTGCTGCTCGTGGTTTTCTTTAGGACTTTAGGCAACCCTTTAATATAACATGCTTATTCTAACTTACTTTTCACCTTTTTATTTGTGAACCCACAATCATGCAGCAGCAATCAGCATTAAACAAGTTTGAACTTTCTAAGAAGCAATGTTTATCTAATATCACTTGAAGAGGTTACTCTGCTATTTTTCCCCATGTGTTAGTGTAAATTCATGTGGCTTTGTACAATTGTGTTTTGTAATTTTTTCTTCTATGCTAGAATCTCCTAGAATACTTGTTAAAATGCACACCCCTGGGTCCCCAGACCTATGGGTACAGACTGTGGGAGAGGCTTGGTATTCTGAGTAGATTTAGTAAATACAGAATGCAAACCAAAGGTCTTGGCCCTTATTAAAAGTTTCCGATGAATGGATACAAAATGTGTAGCAGGCATTTCATTATTCCAGTAGGGAATGTTTGCAGGTCGGAAGGGCTTCGTGGTGTATATTCAAGAAAGGAGCTAGAAGGTAGTACTTAGGAAGCTTTCTTAAGGCTTGGCCCCAGGCCTCGGTCTCTGTGTTATGAGGTACTCTATAAACTCGCCTGAGTGAATTGGCTGTAATGAAATTGTCTGGTAGATATAACCCTGTTATCTGCAGTTGAATAGAGAGTGTTTAGTAACAAGTATGATATGGAGATCAGAATTTCTCTTACAATTAAACTTTTCTTGTACTGAAATAGCAAGCTTTCTCTAGGAGGTCTCAATTTTATGTCCCTTAAATCATAACATGTGCCATTCACAAGCTTATTTGTTTTAGCCAGTCATACTCTGGTTTGTCTTGATTCTAAGTTGTCTTTGTGGTTGTTTAGCACTAAGATGATTTTAAGCTCATAATAATGTCTCTGTGATCTCAACATATATTGAAGCATTGTGACTTTATGTGGAATAAGTCATATCATAAATGATGTTTGTGAACATGTCATAAGTCATAGCTTATAGACATAAAAATTCCTTGTGCCAATGTTTTTCTCATTCAATATACAATTTAAATTACAGTGGAAGCATTGTAGGTTTTATAGAAATTCTGCACTGTAAATAAGGAGCCTGAGCCTTAAAGAAGTTAATATTTTCTGCAGTCCATGTAGCTGCCGAGTTGAGTGAAGCCTCTGTTGTGTGTCTTAAGACCTAGAAAACTTTTGCTTCTGACTAGTTTTCCTCTGCTGCCTCTTAATTTCAACTTTTGCAAAGAACTTGCTAAAATGACAGGTAATATTCTATGACACTAGCTCAACAGAGAGCTTACTCTAGAAGAACCAAAACAGCATTCAAATTTGAATTGTGACAGGTTTTGCCATATATGTAAACATTAGTTTTCTAAATCAATTAAAAGTATAAATTGACTTGATTTTCCCATTAAAAAAAACTCAAGAGAATGGTTGATGGCTTAAATTAATCTTTTATTCTTATATACAGTTCTGATTAGATTTACTAGTAGAAGAAATTGCAAAAGAAATTGAGATCTTTCACTCAACATGATTTGACAGTATATTGAGATAGTCAAAGTACAGTCACACAAAATTGTATATTATAATTTTATAAATATTCTGGATGAAGAGAATTGTCTCAAAATGAAGGAATGTTCATGTTTATTATTATTCTCCTATAATATATTCTTGTTCCTATATTTTATACTGTCATTTATTTGGAGGTAACTATGCCCATTTCTCATTTTTATGTTTGGGTGATACAGACCAGAACTATCTTTAAAAGGTAAAAGGCTACATTTTTCACCAGTGTTTTGATTAGAGCACTTATAATCTCTAAATACAGTGGGATGACATAGGAGTTTTCTAATGAGTGGACTTACAGAGCTTAATAGGAATTTTATTTATTATGCAGTATTTGCAAAGGCACTTTCCTGAAGTGCTGTGGGTTCTCTAAGATCATTTCTTAAGAATTCACTACAAATAAAAATAGGTAATAAACTTCATGACTTTTTTAGTTTTATTGAAGTTAACCAAGGATATATAGCAAGAATCAAATTGAAGTGTGTGTGTGTGTGTGTGTGTGTGTGTTTGTGTTCGTGTTACTGGGGATTGACATCGGAGCCTTCACTCACACTGACCCTCATCCAGGTTTTTTGTTTGTTTGTTTGTTTTTTTTAAACACGGAACCTCACTAATCTTTTAATGCTCAGACTGGTCTTAAACTCCTGCCTCAGCTTCTCAGAGAGCTAGAAATATAGGCATGGACCAGCATGCCTGGTGTAGACCCTAATAGTCTTTAATTGACATTCTGTGTATTAGTTTTACCCTGGAAGTTTTAAACTCAAAACTGGAAATATTGATGCTAAAATTATTAAAACACAGAAACTTCAGTAAGCTTCAAAATTCTTCCAAATGCATTAATCTCTCGGTTTTCATAATATGTTGGGATGAAGTGAAAATGTCTAAATGTATTGTGAAATGATATGAAAGCTGTGTGAAAAATATGTATTAGATTCAAATGATTGGTTTATACTATTGTTGTTGTTGTTTTACAATGTACTGGTTTTATTCTTTTTTAAAATGGTATTTGCTACTTTGTCTTTTTAGGGTCGTTGCTCCAGGGAGAACTGCAAATATCTGCATCCACCCCCACACTTAAAAACACAATTGGAGATAAATGGACGCAATAACTTGATTCAGCAGAAGAACATGGCCATGTTGGCCCAGCAAATGCAACTAGCCAATGCCATGATGCCTGGTGCCCCATTACAACCTGTGGTAAGCATGCATTCAATCTCTAGTCAGTGTGTTTATAAGTCTGAGTGTCCAGTTTCAATGCTAAAATACTAATGATTCTTCCAGATCACAGAAACACAAGTACCAGTTGCCTAGTATTTTCAAGAAAATTTAAGTATCAGTTTCTGGGACAATTTTTACACAATGAACTCGCTCATCTTCTAGTGAATCCATGTGACAGTTTATATTATAGCATTCCTACCTCCCCTACCACCAAATTATCTTCAAAATAAATCTTATTACTTGTAGGTGTTGACCAGTTGTTAAAATAATCAACAAACTAATGTAGTCAGTATTCATGTTTAGGTTAACTTTAAATATAATAGTGCTTATTTGTTTTTCTTTTTTTGCCTTTTTTGGGACAGAGTGTCACTATGCAGTTCAGATTGGCCTTTGAACTCAAAGGGATCCTCCTGACTCAGCCTCCTGAGTGCTGAGTTTATAGGGGAACACTACCATGCCTTGCCCAAGATTATAGTACTTTGTTAAATTGAAATACTAGAACTTTTCTCTCTGTCATCTTGAAGAGAATCTCTATAGTTCCCCTTTTTGAAGAAAACTTTTTTTATTCTTTTACAGTTTAATTTATTCCACAGCCACAAATTCCAAGTAATTTTGAATTATACTCAACTTGAAAATCTCATAAAAGGAGACCTAATCAGAGAGACAGAAACTCCAAGAGCTTTAAAAAAGAGCAGATTTGATAATCTATAGTTGGGCATGGCTATTTAATATTTATCTGTCATTGTGTGGGATAATTCTTGATTCAGAATATACACCCCATTTAAGTATTTCCTTTTTTTTTTGTTGTGTGTATGATAAATTAATAATCTTATTTATAACACAATTACTATTAGTTTAAAGTGGTATTATGTTGTGATATTATTAATTCTGTTTAAATTTAACTGTGTGATGAAAATTATAGTGATGAGAATACATTAGTCAGTAATTTATGTCACTAAATTATATGTAATATGGGGTCAGAGGAGTTTAGTCCTATTGTGGTAATTACAGTGTGTGACTTAGTTACTTTGTCATTACTGGGACAAAACAGCAGACACGTGCAAGTTAAAGGAGCAAAAATTTATCTCAGCTCACAGTCTGTAGAGGTTTCAGTCCATATTTAGCTGACTCCGAGGCAGAGTAGTATGGCAGAGCGGCATTTAGGAGAAGCAGTCCATGGCAGAGAGACAAGAGCCAGCAAGCAGCACTTCTGCCTTCTTTCTATCAATTTATATTTCATCTCTCTTACAAGCCTATTGATTGGTGCCACACTCCCAGAAAGAGGCCTCCCATTATCACACACAGGATCTACGCCTAGGCCAATCATTGTGCTGATTTAGTACCATGTACCCTTAGTCCTAGTGTCACACACCCTAGATCCGGCCACCTCTGAAAAACCCCATTGATGAGCACGCGAGGCTTTGAGGGAACATCTAAATACAAGCCGTAGTAGTGTGTGCTAATTTTTTTCCTAAAACATTTAACGCTTGAACTTCAGTTACTTATTATTCTGTCCTAGAACTTAATGTAACACTCATTCCAAAATAGGAGAAAGCAATTGCATTTTCAGGTGGAAAGGATTTCCATATTAAATCAGAAGTGACAGTAATTGAGCATACTTTTAAGTTTGAAGTGAGACAATATTATTAGTTCTGTATTTATTTAATTTTGTATCTTTTTTGATTATTGAGACTTTAGTAAAAAATGACTGTCTTTGTTTTTATGACATCTATAGTTTTACATGTTTGTACTGGCACAGCATAAAGCTTTCCATTTTATTTTTAAATTTTAATTATAGTCATTCTTTGGAACAAAAATATAGGGAAAAAGTCTCTTTTACATGTGGGCCTCACATACAGTTTCCAAGATCAGAGGTGGCTACTACTTTGATATAAGATCTCTTCTTGATGTTGGATACTTTGCTCCACTTAAACATTTAAAACATACTGAGTACCATTCTATGCTGTCTGTGTGACCCAGAGTTCCTGACTTGCAGGCGTACTTCCCGGATTGAAGGGGGCACACCATTTGCCTTGAATTCCTTACCATGACGTCTTGACCCATACTTGGACTTCATCCAGGGACTCTTTCAGGGCTGTTCTGTGTCATCATATGCATAATCCTGGAGCAGACTGTAAAGGATATTTATACCACTTGAAATACTTTTTTAAACACTAGTAATAAGTATGCTGATTGTAAAAGCACTAAATCACAGGTTTCTCAAACCATTAAAGCATTCATCACATTTTCTGATGCTTTTGTTAGAAAATTATCTGCAGTTAGTTATGAGCATATTCAGACTTTTTGTTAATTTTATCTCACATGACTACATTTGAATGTGGAATTACCCTTCTACTAAATGTATCATACCATAATCTAAAAATATATTTTATTCAGAGTGATGTTTTATAAGTATAGAATTATTTAATTTTAAAGCATTTGGAATTTTAATAATGATAGAGAAGGCCTTAATCCAGGAAATTTGCCTTCAAAGTCTCACCTGAGACTTTTTGATATTTTTGGTAGTCAGGATGATTATAATAATATGAAGATTCAAAAATAAATGGGGTAGTCATCAGCAGCTGCTTACTGTGACTTTAATGTGAGCCTTCAGACAGAGACTGTAACAGAGCTTGAAGCAGACAAGTGACTGATTTTGAAGAGACCTATCACTCAGTGAGTGATCTTTAGTACAGATGTGAGCATTTGAAGTTCTTCCAGGCTGTGCCCTTTGTGTGACCCACAGCACCTCTGAGATCAGCAGGTGTGATTTACTTGGATCCAACCTAAAGAGTGGTGGCATCAAAGGATGCGACACCGTGGGCCAATTCATAGCATCAGGAGTAGCAGAGTATAGAAAGAGTGACAAGACTTGGGTTCCAGCAGGTGACAGCATCTTTGTCTTTAGAGCAACCCAATTTGGACTCCCAATTTAGCTAAAGGAACAGAAAGGGTATAAGGATAGGATTGCAAAGTCTCAGCAGTTTGCAAACAGCCTATATTATGCCTAGCATATATCAGGAATCAATAACTGCGTGATGAATGAAAGAACAAATGAGCATCACATAAAGAGGCAGAGCTTCATAATAGCTTCCTTGCCCTAGAGACCAGAGGAATCATGACTTGGATCCAGAGCGCAAGTCCACTTACAGAGAGTGCGTGGTCCCATATCCGGTTCAGCTCTTGAGTTTCCTGTGGAGAGGATGGTGGGAGATTAAGAAATGAAGACAAGAGTCAGAATGCACAAAGCTGAGATCAGTCGGAGCCCTTTCTCCTGATGGGAGAAAAGGAACTGCCCAATGACTGTAGCATATTTATTTATATAATCAGCAAGAGGTTGATAAGAAGTTGAAATCTATCTTCTATGACTCACCTCAAGGGCTGCATGTTCTCAGAGCTGATCTTGCTCTGGCCCTACACGTGTGGTTGATCTCCAGCTCAGCCACTCCTCACAGGGTAGAAAGAGGCAGGCAGTAGAAACAAACTTGTATGTGGTACCTCAGTTCATGAATTCTTTTGTTTGTTAACAGTTTAGTTCCTCAAAAGAAGCATTTGATAAAATGTGTGTGTGGGGGGGGTGCATTCTATGTTGGGTAACGAACACATCAATGGCCATCTTTTTTGCGTGAACACTAACATGGCCATAATAAACTGAGGTGCCACTGTATTTGTACAGATATCTACTCAGAGCCTGATGATGGTTCTGTTGGCACCAAGAAATAGTTATTATGCTACCAGTTTGGGTTCTCATTTTGTCATGAATTGTCAGAAACTGGGTCTATAAATTTAAAATCTTCATGACAATGAACAAACTTGGTTAATGCAGAACTTTATAGAGACTTTCTGCTTTCATAGACCTTTTTAGATTATCATGATATGCAAAAATAAAAAAGCAGAAAAAGGATTAACATTTTTAAGACAAATACAATACTTTAGGTCTTTTACTATATTTAGAACTTTTTGTATATCAAATTCTTACAACTATTCTATGAAAAGGTAACATTATGTCAGATTTAGAGATAGACCCATGATGTTGACATGCATGGAATAGAGAAATTCAGAGTCACTAACTTCAGCTAAAGTACTATATCAGGAACTCTTTGGCTGCTCCTGTGACCTCAGCTTTGCTGTTCGGTGCTGTTCCAGGTATTTGTTGGCAGTAGACTGCTGAATGCTTTGAAGTCATCATTTGTCTCACTTCCAGGAACACCTAGAATTCTTCAGTTGTTTTGGGGCGGGGCTTTCCTTTCCAGTTTATCTACCTCGTGCTCAGATGTATTTCTGGTAAAATGGTTGTACATTAGTCACCTGAGGTGTTCATCCATCCTACTGCTTTTGCTGCCTGTTTCTATCAAGGAGCCTGTGAATTTTCAAGCTGCTTGAGAACAGATGCAAAATTATAGAGATTGGACCATGTTCAGCTGATGCTAGGTGGTTGAGAAATAAACCTTTATTTAAATGTTTATAATTTCAGTAGTTAGCTTGCAGGACAAAGAAAAACAGAATAAAGCAATATTCATCCGAACACACAAATATACACATTTACATAAAATCTGGAAAAATCTGGATTTTAAAATTTGTGTTCCATAGATCTCAAGTGATACTGATTACATATTTTATGTTTTGTATGGTTCCTGTATTTATTAAAAATTGCAAACATTGTTTGCAAAACAAATGCTGTTTCATTTAGTGTTTTAGAATAAAGAACCCAGAGGATATTTTCAGCATTATAGCATAATAACTACATTTCTGAAACTTAGATTAATATAAAAATTGTAAAATAAAAAGAATATATTTCATTTTTAAATGGTCATGGTAGAGAAAATATTAAATTTTGAGATGAGAAAATATAATTAAATCTCTTGACATTCACATATCTACTCTAGAAAATATTTAATGCATTTGCTAGTTTCTGTGACAAAAGCGTTCAACAAATCCTCTAATAATTGTTTTAAGCCATAGTTATAGAAGTCTTATGT